TGACTTCATCCACAGCTGACTGCTGTCTTTAGCCTCTGAGCAAAAGGAAGCTCTAGTATAGGCCTGTACCATTTGCAAGCTTCGTGATTTGCTGCCAATTTGTAGAAACCAAAGTAAACTTTTGGCAGGACTCCTACATACCATAGTAGTTAAAGAAACTATCGTCCCACCCTGATTTTGACTATGAGCCTTGAAAGATTAGTCTAATGTTTCTTCCTACCCTCCTATTCTCCTTCGCTAATAGAAGATTTAATGTAAAACTTCAAAAATGTAATTCCGGAAAGTGCCACTCTGCCTATCTACAGTCAATTCACAAACCCACAGTTAATTTTTTCTCATTCTTTTTTTCCTCAACAATAATCCTCAGCAACAGAAAGCCTAACTACTAATTAAAAATGAAAAGCTAGCAAGCAGACCCAGTACCCTGATGTTTCACAGCTGTGAGCAAAGCTGCCCAGAGACACCTGCTTATTTTTACAGCAATTCTTTTTACTTTTTATCTTTCCATCCCTTAAGGTAGGGTTATAAAATGAGGCAGAATAATCTAGACCATTTCAGGAAACGATGGTGCATTTCTACATCCCACCTTTACTGGAAGACACAAATCACCATTACACAATGTTGTCCAGTTGCTATAGCAGGAATCAACCAAATTGATCTTGCACATTACGAAGCCTTTAGAAAGTATGACTTTCAGAATGTTCCCTGGTTGTTGTTACCTCAACTTCCAGGCGCAGCTTGAGTATCTAGTGCCAAATGACCACATATGCTGGATAATCAGAATTCCTGCCCCAATTTCTGAAGATATTTTAGACCGAAAAAAACAAAACAGGCTACTAGTAGTGCTTTTCAGTACCTATGTAGCTGTTTAATCTTGTTGAGTCCAGTGGGAACTAGGGAAGGAAGGGCAACAGCCCCACAGTTGAAGATGCTTAGGTGCTGCTTATCAGGCTCAGTGTAACTGCTAATTGGAAATACAGAGCTTGTAAGCAGAGATCTGGCTGCCAAGTAATCTTACACTGAAAGCATGCTTCATGCATCCTCTGTGTCCAAAAGCTGACTCTACACTGATGCTGTACCTCCTGATAACACTGACGAAGCCCACTACAGCAAGGCATCTGCCCTACCACCACCACATCTCATTGCAGGACCTTAGGGGCTGGGCAGCGGAGTATTCACCAGGGCGGTAGGGTACGTAAAGTCAAACTCCCCAGCCCTAGGAGAGAAAGTAATTGTTCCAGTTTTATATCCCATATAAAACTCTAGCTAGCAATGAAACAGAAAGCAGCCTCCTTTCCTCTGGACATGCTTTGTCAGAAAGTGATGACTTCAGCACCCAGTCAAAGAAAAAGATTTAGCTGTGGTTCACAGCTGGAGGTATGTGGCTCCTCACAGGACCAAAAAGGGTGAACCCCTGAAAGTGCACCTAAACTGGGAGGCTTCCAAGTGTCCCCTCATCATGCCCCAAATCCAAGCACAGGAGCATCTTCACACAGATGAGCCAGGATATGCCCCTGAAGTGTGTGTTGTGCTGGGGGGAGGTGGACAGCAGGAGAGAGGGATGTGCTGTGATGCAAACCAGCAGCTCAGCTGAGGAGTATTCACAGAGGGCCAGGCTGACTGTCACATCTTTTCTCAAAACTCCTTGGAGGTCACTGCTTGTAACTGCCTGTCCATCACACTCAGTTTTGTGGACAACAGTCATAGGCACTTGGGGCATTGTCATATGGTCACCTTAGTTCACTGAAACTGGCATTGCCAGTGACAAGTTCAGGTATCTAGCATGCCTACAAGCCTTGCTCGTAGTCCTGAGACCTCTCATAAGCCAAACCAAAGATTTCTCTTATTAGCCACCAAAAATTTATAGCACATTTACTGATTCTGACCTTTCTACACCAGTGACAGGATACCTCTAAGATAACAACGGCACATGAAATTCTTCAACTGTAAGAAAAATAGAAGGCTTTGTAAAGAGCAAGAATTGATAGACTTTTACTCATCCTTCTGTTTCAATGAACGTGTGTCTTGAGGATATCTCCTAACAGCTTCAGTATAGTATCAGCATTCTCTGTACAAGCATCTAGCTCTGAAATCCTCAGCTTGTCACTAACTTAACTGAGGCAATGCAGCAATCGGGTCTATCTACCATTTGTTCCACATCAGTGTTTTCTTTTTGCTTAAACTTAAACTAGCCTGCACGTGCAGAATGTTTACACATTTCAAAACAAAGGGTTTTACTGAATTTCGCTTTTTAGTCTCTCATGGTGCTCTTGCTTTAGGAGATTTCTAGTGAAGAAGAGGCAGATACGATTCAATAAACTGAGCTTCTGTATCAAAATAGGATGAGAAAGATATACCTAACGGGCAGAAGGGAAAGAAACAGGTCTTGCATGTGTTTGCTTCTAGATGAGAATATTTGGCAGCATGTAAACATCATCAAATAAGAACAACTGAATGAGAACATAGGCCAAGATTGCAGTCCCAAATAAATAAACTATTATTATTCAAATTAATACCAACATAGTATGTTTCTAAACAGTATTTCTAGTCATCACAACTAAGACGTGTGTGTGTATGCACATTTATTTATATAGCTTCTCAGAGCTAAATCCTTACATATTTCTCATCTCAGCCTACCCAGCAGGATCAGGCTGACTGACCAAACAAGTATTTGGCAGAATTCACCTCAGTTTTCACAGTTATTTCACCCTATGGCTGAAAGTAGCTATGACAGCTCCTTGAGATTCACTGCAAGATGAGTCGATCTATATGTAACAGGCAGCTATGTGTAACGGAGCCCTGTTCTTCAGCCATACATGGCTCCCTGCTTTTATTAAGAAGTGTTGTCCAAGAGAGGATTCTCCCATCAAAGTGTGATCCAAGGTTTCTCCAACTGGTTTCTCCAGTCAAACCAATGTTAAGTTTTGCTGCTGACCCATAGCTCATACCTGCTGTATTCTTCTGGATAAAGTTTGTGGGATTATAAGGAAGAGACAACAACAAACCCAAAAGCATTTCAGTTGTATAAAGGATGAAGTTTCACCTCCTGTAGTCTCTCTTCTGCAGGCAAACAATACTAAATGCTTTCCACAATAACAAAAAATGAACCGAACCTCAAGAAAACAAAATGCACAGTCAGAATGTTGACAGCGAATAGGATTATCCTTCCTCTAACTCATGCAATTCCACAAAAAGAAATCTCTTTCTGCCAAGCACCTAGTTAAAAAATGTTACCAACAAATAACTGCCCTCAAATACCAATGGGGCAGAAAAGTGGTCTGCTTCCCGAGATGAGGTATCCCTCCCAGTGTCTACACTAGCCTTCACCACAGCACATCCAAAGAGTAGAGCTGGAATGACAAATATCAGGAAGCTGAGCTCTGAAGAAGAAATACATCATTCACAGAAATTATCTAACCAGTCATGTGACACAGCTATTATAATCCAGCAGAATTGCCACTTCTGGGTTTATGTGGCTTCTATCAAACCTCAACATGTAAAATCACCATCACTTTAAAAGACATTACTAGAGGAAAAAAAAAAAATCTCCATTAACTTGTCTATTTCTTCAATACGTAAAATCTAAGTTCAACAGTCAGAAGACAAGCCAGTTGTCACACATAATAACCCCCCAATAACTCAATGAGATAATACCTGAGAAAAGTAAGAGTCACCCCTTATATTCTGCATCCTAAAGGGATTGAAAATGGTTCATTTCACACGCCCAGAACTTTCAAACTAATTTTTATGTGGTTTTGGATGGCTCCAAATGCTTTCAAAGAGTAAGTGTCACGCAGTGTGCATGGAAGAGACATAAATATGTATTTCACAAAGATTTAAATGCAAATCATGCTGCTTTATGAGTATTCAAGCTTCCTAGACTTTCATAATAAGCACTGGTACTTTCTACTTGACGAACAAGATTGAAAATGTCATGAATGTCATAGTGCCTTACTTGTTCTCGTTGCTGGCATCATACCGAGGCATAGGGTCAAAATCATTTCCATTGACATCAAAACTGGCCTGCGAATCCTATAGTGAACAGGAGAAAGAGAACCCGTTTCTCATTAATTAGCCATTGACTCATGTGGCCTATACATTCTTCAGCAGGTTCCTACAAGAGAGTAATTAGGTTAACATTCCTGTGGTTTTATGATGATTGCATGTTTTAGGAAAGGATTATATATTTAATAATTATGGGATTTACGTATTTTATTTTATTTTATTTTTGGAAAAGGGAGAAGGATAACAAAAGCATAGGCCAGTGTCAGAGAGAAAACAGAAAGTGGTGCTTCATTAAACCAGAAGACTACATTTCTTCTAAGAAACTTTGGAAGTTACAAGAGCTCATTCTCAAAACCAGGATTTTGCTAAATGTTTCAAGAATCAAGAAATTATCTGCACAATGATGACTGAAATTTCAGTCATAGTTTCAAGGAGTAAGAATGATACAAGTTTCTTAAGAATATTGTTATAAAAATACATCTTGAAATGCAACATAAACTGCATTCCCACTTCCCTGGTAGTGTAACTGTTTCAAATATTTGCAAGATATCTCTGTATTTTTGTTCCGTATTTTACATTTACCAGGATTCTTACAGCTGAAAATAGTTTATAGAGTAAATAGTTGCTGGTTTGTATGGCTCCCATTAATTGATGCAGTAGCATGTTGTGTGTTGACGTGGCAAGCAGCTCTTTTTAATCTCTTCTTTGTTCAAAACCTGTTACCACATCCACCTCAAATATTCCTGTTTGCAGCCACACCAGCAATAACCTAACATATAGATGGCATCTGTCATCAAACAAGCAATGTGTACTGCTTTGGGGGAATTACTTGCTGGTGTGAGGAAAGGGAGAGAGGAGGTGGCAAAGGAGTAAATAGCTGCTTTAAATTCAGTGGAAGGACAGTACCGAGACGAGGTGACATAGGATACAATCTGGGTCATTCATTGAAGAGGTAAAATTATATTTGGTTTGTTTAAATAACTTATGAGATTAAAATGAAAGATGTGGCATGCATTAGGATCAAGCATACATTGACAAATAGGGCAATTGCCTGTCACTTGTGTTTGTGCAGTCTTCCTCATGTATTTCAAAGCGGAGCTCCATGTACAGCACAGGGAAGGATATGGATGCAAGTATGGCTAATCTGTTGTTAAAGATATTTTTTGTCACCTTCATTTCTTCATTGCTCTGTCAAGATGATATGCTCACTAGCAAAAAGCCTGTGTTCAGGGCTCTTTTACAAGTTCTATGTCTATAACAGAACATATGCATGTAACATATGCATGCCTTGAGCTGGTCATCTTCACCAGTCCAGCTCAATCCAAATATATTTGTTTGTTTTCTTACTTCATGTGAATCTATACCTTGCACACTTTATTTCAGAGAAATTATGAGGTCCTCAAGGTCATGTGTTTTCAAGTAATGCCTACTCCCAAAGCACAGGACTAATCACTCCAGCAAAGCATGGCCCTGATGTTCTGAACAGCTTCAAACTCTGACACTAATACAAGAAGTCACCCATCAGAGAAGCGGCTTTTCCTCATGTTACACAAGCCTTTCAAGGTATATTAAACAAATCATTTAAATGTGATGAACCACAAGCAGAAACCTCCTGAGGTGACATGAAACATTAGACACAGAAAACAAAGCCCTATTGCAAATTGTGAGGGGACTCACTGGAGTTATGACAGATTTACTAGAAAGACCCCAAAATATTCTACACCTGTTTTTAACTGAGTGGATCATAAGGAGTCATGAACTTTTCCTCTAACATTATTTCTAGCAGTAAGATAAAAAGTTTTAAAAACAAATACATAGAAGGATATGCCTAAAATTACAGTCTTGGAGAACAGCTACTGTCTTGCTAGCTAAATGTATTGGCCAAAAATGAACTTCAGCTGCACGCATTAACTGGAAAGCATTGTATTCCATTTCTAAGTTCTGACCATGTGAGGATATTAAGTAAAATAATTACAGAAAAGAAAAAAAGCATCTGATGATTAGTTCCAGTCCTTCAGAAATTCAGGACTTAGCTACAAGAGGCATCCAGATATTAAATACATTCAGAGTGAACATAGTCTTAAATAAAACAATACAGCTTACCAAAAGCTGTCTTCCTTCCTCCCACTGGTGTTAACATTTGAGGAAACCCTTGTATGATTCTTTCTCCTTCCCTCCTCCCTCCCTCCATCTTTCCAGGAGCAGCAAACTTATTCAGGGTAATAATAAAGCAGCAAATCTGGACTCCTGTGGACACTCACATAATTCTGCATCAAGTCTGGATGGTTTCTTTCGATGCCGTCATCCAGGATAGTGACCACAACATTCTTTCCAGTGTAACCTCTTTTCCAAGCACCTACTATATTCATATCTGATTGGCAATGGTGGGTGTTATCACTGCAGTGCTGGGGAGAGAAGAGGAGATAAAGATGTTGGATGTCGCAGATTAGTGAGCAGCGTGGAGTTGAGATATTATTCTACTTAGATTAACATTACCATTTAAATCAGCACATGAGCATATTTATTTGAATAGCAACTATACGAGACTAACACCTTCATTTAGACAGAAAGTAATTTTAAAAGAAATGCCAAATTAAATGAAAATTCCTAGACCTGCTTGTTTCTCTTTCAGATTACTCTTTATGCTAAGCAATAGAAAAAGGAAGCGTCCAGTCATTCTGAAACACTAGAAGCCCTGTGTAAAACAAAGCAACTATTCCTGGCTGTTAGGCATGCTCATTTGAAATGCACATTTGAACTATTTGAATTTTTTTCAGAAAAATAAACCATATGTGGATAAAAGTAGACAAATGCCTGTATAGAAATGGTCATGGAAACAAAACTTGCTTTTTGGAGCTTATGTGCTGTATAGCTTCTTGACAGAATGTCTGGAAACTAATCCAGATTCATTTCTATCTACAAAAGAAGGCTTTTGGCAGGTTTTGTGCAGTATCAGCAGGAGATGAGCAGCAGTTAAGAACCTGTAACCAAAACAACACCCTGAAAAACTTGCAGCTTAAGGTGTCTGATGAATTGTAGATAGATTGAGAACAGCCTGGGGTACAGCTTTCAGAGCAACCAAGTCCAATGTGGTGGAGAAAGAAACTTTAGGGTACATTAGAACTGAAAGCCTCTTCTTGATATGAATGCACCCAGCTCACATGAAGAAATCTCGCTTGCTATGGCAATGAGACATGACCCTCGGGTATTCATATGCCCCATTAGCGACTCTCTAACCACACACAGAGCCCTCCCTGTGAAGCGAGTTCAATGAACCTCTCATCAGCATCGCTTCCCTTGAGCTCCTCCAGGCTTAGACAAAGTAACAGGCAAAAAATTGAAAGAAGGGGTGCAGGGAAGGGGAAAAGTAGAAGGTGGGAGGAAGGAAAAATAAATGAAAAAAGAAACTTGTATCATAGCAACAGTGGCCACATGAGCACGCTCCATCTCTCTCCCTGCTCCACTGCCTCATGTCCCCACTTCAGCTTCATGTTTTCACACCCTACAATTTCTAAGGAGTATAAATACATTCAGAGGGATGCACTCCACCTTGACTTAGTCCATCTCTCACAGATGTAAGCACACTGAAGAACTGTGAGCCATACTGGGTGCAAAATGACATTAGATTACTATTAAGTCGTCATTTTCCTCTTCCTTTTTCTCCAGTTTACCACCCTGTACTGTCATACACAAACCAGAGGACTTAAAAGTGGTCATCTGCTGTTAGTAAAGCAAGATTATATTATTAGGCACTATATAGATTTACAGAGTACAAAGTCTTTCTCATGGTCTTTCCCTCGTGTCTGCAGGTATGTGTCTCCCTCTCTCAGACTTCAGGAACCAGTTCCAAGGAATGTATAGGGCAAGCTTAATGCTTTTGTTCTGTGTATTGTGTGGAAATGCTCATGCTGCTGGCTTCATGAAATTAATTACAGTCTAAACTTGCCATCTATACACTGAATGTAATGGCTGTACACATGACGCTTTCTAATGTACAAACAAGGGGGTCAGAAGTGTGTAATGTTTCCAGGTGCCTTTGCATTTTTCAAAAGTGTTACTGAATTAAGCATCACAAAATACCTGCAAAAGCTATGAATATCATCATTCATATTTTGCTGATGTGAAGACAAAGAGACAAGAAGGTGGAAGCACCAGCCTCCAGCCACAGAGTAAACCCAAGGGAGAGCTGCAATGGGCAATCAGGGATCCTGGCTCTGACCTCCAGTCACATTTACTGGGCCATTATGCTGCGTCTTCATCCCCATCTCCGAAATGCCAAATGACCCTTTGTCTGCTCTGCTGACTGTCTTGTCCTCTCTTCCTAGGGGATGAGCTTGTTGTTTTGCTTCCATGCCAGTCAAACTGCTCAGGCTGAGCAAGCATATGGGTTTTTAATCCCTATTCTCTTGCAAGCTCTTCGGCTCCCTGCCAGAAGATCACTGCTTTTTCCCTTAATGATGTTGGCACAGTCAGTTCCCCTCACTCACCTCACCTGAACTTCTGCTTTTGTGGTGGTGGCTGAAGGGACTAATTCATCAGCTGCTTTGCTACATGCATGTGGACAAACACATGACAAGAGACATCTCTTGCTTTACCATGTGCTCAGATGATTCTCTCAAGAGACGTGCCAGATCAAACTGATATTCAAATGATCTCGCTCCAAGACAGGGCAGAAAGCTAGTCTAAACAATCTTCCTGCACAAAAGAAATTCCAGGGGTAAAGCAGGCGTAACTGCATGCCCAATTATTACTTTGGATCACAGCATATGTAACATATGGATACAAAATGCAAAGGCAGCAGAGAAGCATCCAAATGGGATTAGTTCAATGAAAGGATTCAGTTCTTATGGTTACAATACATAACTTACTTTCAAGTCCTGTTAAACATAGCAACTTTGTTTTCTTTTCACCTCTATTCCTTCTCTCAATTCTTTTTCTATCTATGCTCTCCCCTCCCTGCTCCTAGCCTTATTCCCCTCTCCCAATACTCTCTTTTACCACTTAAAATGCCAATTTTGCTTGGTTCACGTCTGATCTCAGATTCCTGTATTTTAACCACAAACTATACCTTCCCCCAGATTAGTGTGTGATTTTCTCCAGATTAATCACCTTGTGCACTTTTCTCTCAAAGCAGTGAGATTTGGCTGTTACCAGGAACACTTTAAATGCTGGAGTGCAGTTACTCTTCAAGTACTAGATAATGTAGTATAGATATGCTGTTCCAAATTGAACAGCATCTAAGATCCCACCTATTACTTGGTTTCATTTGCACTCTTTCACATGC